GTCGCACCAGCGCAGCCCCTCCGCGCTGCAGCCCCTCTGCCAGGTGCCCCCCGTCTGCCCCCGGCCCAGGGAAAAGTGCGGTCAGCCACGCTTTGGGAGAAAAACCAGCAAAGGCCAAGTAGGTTCCCCGAGTACCAAACCTACGTACAGCTCAGAGCATCGCACGGGAGGCGTGAGCCGGGCGCGCTAGCCCTGCAGGGCCGTGCCGAATGCCGTCCCATCGCACCCCCCCCGGCCCCCTCGCGGCCCTCCATCTCCTGGCTGGGCTGTGCGGGGCGCGAGGTTGGGCCCGGGCGCCCTGGCGGAGGGACGCCTCCCCGCAAGGTGCTAATGACCACGGTGCCTTTGCGCTGTGGACATCTGCTCCCAGGGGCGACGGCTCCACGGGTCTCTCGGAGTCAGAGGCGGGATTGCAGCTCATGGAGACATCCCCAACCCGGCGAGTGTGGTCACCGGCGCCGCGGCAGCACAGTCTGCGAGGGGCAGCCTTGGCACAGTCTGTAACGGGTAACCACAGGTTTTCCCTGCAGCTGGACAGTCTGGATCTTCCTCTGTTATTGGGATAAGGATGTTGGAGGTCTCCGTGAATGGCTCGGTATTCACATATAGGTTAGTTATTTGCCAACAGGTTAGGTTAGGGCAAGGTTTCCTGCTCTCTGGTGTGCTGACAGTGGCTGATAGTCATGGCAGAGTAGGACATCCCCGATGCCAGCAGGGAAGGACTGGGGACAAGGGGGCTCTGCAGTGAATTTGGCATAATATGGTTACACCGCTGTGGACGGTGAAGCGACTGTGCACCCTACTGCTCTGGTTTGTACTGTTTTGTATACTGAATTCAATGAGACGTTCAACAAGATATTTATCCTCTATATGGAGGACAACTGTCCTTCCCTGCCTCCCCTGTCAGACCCCGAACTTAAACTTTGGAAGATGTGAGTGTGGATGTGGGGGTGTCCATCACAGCTCATGACACCCAGAGATGTTACTTCAGCCTCCATTTGCACAACAGTGAGCATCCAACGTGACGGAGGGGGCCACCAGTCCTTGTCACAAGAGAAGGCTCTTTAGTTGGCCTGGAGAACGTGTGGACGCAGAGTTAGTCACACCACCACCTCCTCTGATTTCCAGGTGCAGCTTCTGGATATTTCCCTTGTGGAGGAGAATCAAAAAAAAAAAAAAGAGAGAGAGAAGAGCATCTTTCCTGTTGGAGAGCAGGAAATGGGGCCTGTCAGTGCCGGTTTTGTCACCCAGAACCCGGCTGGGACCAGGGCTGCTTCCAGATACGCAGAGCCCAAGCTCTCTGCTGCCCTTCATCTAGCTGGTTCTGCTGGGGGCTTCGCACTAGACCGAGGCCAATGGCAAACGCCCTGGTTGGCACTGGGGAGAGTGGAGCAGCCTTGGGTCCCAAAACGACACTGCATTCAGCGTCTGGCACAGAGAGAGGCAGCAAGGAGCCATGGTGGGAGCTTAAGGAAGCTGGGCAGAGAGGAACAGTATGTCCCAGAAGCTGCTGCCAATTTCTCCCCTTTAACACCCCATGACAACACTAGATTGGCCTTTTCAACAGCTCTATCACGGTTCCTTCCACAGGATCTCACTTGCTCCTCTCAAGGCCTGTCAGTTGCCCAAATTATATTTCAGAAAATGGATTAGCAGTGAGAAAATGGCCAGGAGCATTCTAACTCAGCTCTTCTGTCACTCTCAACTTTGGCTGAGTTATCAAGAAGAGTTTCAGGCTAACTGTGCAGCATCCCTCCCCCACTCCATCCCATTCACCACAATGCAGCCAGGCATGTAGAGTCACGAATGAATGAGATTCATCTTGGTTCAAAACGTAAATCAAGCTGAAACAGAAACTCCACGAGCTGAGAAGTTCATGTGCATGGTTGAGACTGGTTTGGTGGGTATAATGGCATCTCTGGCATGGGCTGCACAGAGCAGGTTTGCTGCTTGCATAGAGATAAGGCTGCTCCTGACCTTGGGTTGTCAGCACCCTGCAGAGGTGGCAGACTTGATGTGGCAGATGACTGTGAGATCTGTGTATAGGCAGCCAAGGTTTATTAGATAAACTCTTAAATTCAAATGACTTAGATACAAAGATAAGTTGCACTGCCTTCTGAAAGGCAAAGGTGTTTCTGACCCATAGATACAGGTTATCTTGACACCAGTTACCACAGCAGATCTGATAGTAAAATGATCACCTTGCAGTTAATCTTAGTGGAGCCAAAGTTTCTTTCTACCCAGTACATCCAATAGGATGTGTACATTGTGTCATCAAATATCAGCGTAACTACTGCATCTCTCCTCTAGCCCTGCTGCCCTTCCTCCCAGGATATTGCCATCTCTCTCACCAGTATCTATTCTGTTCACAGTCACTCTCCCCTCCCTTATTTGCCGTTTCCAAACATTCAAAGCAACACATCTCTATGGAACATTTCTAAATTCAACATTAGGCTGCTCTCATCTTTAACTGGATGGGGGAATAAGAAGGTGCAGAACTCAAAATCTGTTATTAGACCTTTAAACTAAAATTAAAAAGAAAAAAAAAACACTGTTCACTTCTCATGGAGAATTCAAAACCTCTTCTGGTATGTTCCTAGGAATGTTTTCTTCTGCTTGCAACCGTGTCGCATCCTGGGATTTTATCCACCTCCCGTCCCTGTAGCACTGTGGTGTGGTCCTGTCCGTGTGATGAGATGTCATAGAGCTGCGCACATCCGTGCTGCTGTCCACATGCTCGTCAGTATAAGGCTGGCCAACAGTCTGAGCACAGGGCAAGCCTGGAGGGAATCGGAGGATGACGTGCAGGAGCAGACCTCGTAGCCATTTTCTGACCGGCTCTCATCATGCTGCCCTGGTTTTGAGCGTGCCCCAGTCCTGCTGCTCCCTGCTGCTTCTGGGGAGTCCGACTGCATGTCGCTGCACACCAGCCAGTCTCTAGCAATGGACTGGGGATAACCAGCCTCGGCTTCCATCTCACTGTCCAGCACTTTCCAGTACTCCTTGCCCCTGAAGAAGTAGCTTGCACCTGGGAAAAGAAACCAAAACCCAAAGGCAAGATTAGTGGACATGGGCAGTCTTCCAGTGGAAACCACACAGGAGCATCTACAGCAGCAAAGGAGCATTTACACCCTCAGCTGAAACACAAGGAGCAGAGGCATGTGCAATACTGCTGCTTTTTGCCAATACCCTCTATTAGTACAGTGGCCGGTGGTAGGACGCTCTCGAAGATGATGATGCCTGCCTGCCTGCCTGGGATCTCACACACGCGCCTGAGCCAGACAGGAGCCACAGGACGGATGGGAAAGGGCACGGGGTGGTGAGATGTCAGCTCTTTGCTGGGATGTCCCACAGCAGAGGCATCCCACTGGCACTGAGGGTGTGCGGGGCGAAGAGCCTGCAGCCATCCACAGATACATGTACCCAGTGACTCATACACATCTCTGAGTGGCCCTCAGTGGACGGTCTGGTAACAGAGCATGATAAAGTTGAAGAAGGCTTCACGTAACTGTTAATGGCTTGGGCCGTGTACTGGCATCCATACTCTTAGATAAACAATCCATTAAGCACTACCTCGGTGTGCTAAGTTCTTCCTACTTAGCAGAGGACTGGTCTAAACACTTTGTGCACCACTCACACCCCCACGAAAGGCCCAGGCGGGACCTGTGAACCTTCTGCTTTCAGGCTCACTTTTTCCACGATGAATAGGGAGGGTTTGAACTCTCTAAGCACGTTCCACACTTACGAAGGACTCCTATCAAAGTGAATGGTGGGTCACTCTCAACAGCTTCTGAAATTCAATTCGATAAGCCTGTGGAAATGTTCCTCTCCTCTGCCTGGTTTAACAGCTGCTATTACACTGTTAGGTCACCAGTAAATAAAAACGGGAAGTATCACTTTATTGTGAGTGAATGGCTGGCTTTAAACATCTCCTGTAACAAAATTTCCACGGTCTTTTCAGGGAGAAGAAGCCACTGAGAAATCTAATCCCTGGAAAATAAGTCCTAACAGTCCTTATTCTGGGTGAAATACTTCCTTTAAAAATATTTGTGTCCATATTTTGTCTTATTTCTCTAGCTGAAAATCCAACTATAACAAATGCAGTGAAAAGCAAAACAGCATATATTAGGATAAAAATCATTTGAAAAACAAGATCCACTGTGTTCTTTTAAAAAAACCCAATTATTAGGGCCCCAAGATATTTTTGTTGCCTGCTTGAACTTAAAATGTCTTTTAGTGAGCAGAGTGCAGCATAGGGAGCTTTGACTCAAAGCCTAGCTCCCTTTTTCAGCTCTATATAAGACAAGTAAAAACGTCTGCACGCCTGGGGTTTAGCAGTTTACCTAAGCAGGCACGGGCCGAAGGGTCTATATTGTGCAAATGGAGCACTGTTTTTTTCCTAAATCGGCCTATGGACTCACCATCTGACCATCTCATGGCATCGTCCAAAGGGCTGGGAATTCCCTTCCACAGAACGGTCTCTGAAGGATACCCAGGATCCATTCGCCGCTCGTGGTCGTCGTAGCGCCAGTAGAGATTGTCCTTAAAGAAATAAGTCTTGTCATTGTGGGCCCAGGAAAAAGCAGCGTCGATTCCGCCCAGGGGCAGACCAAAGTCTGAGATGGGCCGTGGGTATCCTTCCTCCACGTTATTGTCTTTGAACACCCAGTATCTGTCTCCTGAGGAAAGGAAAGAGGCACATGGCAAAATCACATTTGTTTCACAGCTGAAACCTGCCTTCCCCACAGACAAGCTGATGTTTCAGTATCTGTTGCTGGGACAATCCTTAGGGCTGCGTTGCTGGCATTGAAGAATGGGGACCGGAAGGAAGCAGCCTGCTGGGGAATCTCTTAGAATAGCTGCTTTTTGTGTCAGGCTCTCCCCGGAGTCTCGCCCCACGCCGCTTCCGAATTGCTGCAGGCGTGACGGCTCCAGGACGCGAACAGCCTGCCAACGCTGCACGGCGTCAGCTTAGCCGCCTCTGCTGCGCCTTTGGTCGTGGCGTTGCCTTTTCCGCCCTTTTTTTTGATTTCTGCCTAATATCCAAGTGCAAGAAATACAAAGCTACGTGCTGCTTTTGAGGACAAATTGAGCACGTTCTGCCTGCTCTTCAGCTCTTGAAGAGCAAAGCAGATCCCAGCTTGGGAAGGGAACATGCCAAACTAGAGTCAGTCGGGCTGAAAGACCTGTTGATTTTAAGAGATGTAAGGAAGGTGTGCAGGGGTGGAAAAAAAAAATCACATTTGAGCAGCTCACTGCTCTTAAGGGGCTTTACACAGCCACCACCACCCTCCCTGGGCAGGAGAGCACTGTCAATATTTTCTTTTTTTTCAGCTAAAAATGAAGCACTAAATGACTTGCCCATGGTCATACAGGGCCTCTGCGGCCGGACAGGAAAATAAACCCAGATCTCTCAAGTCCAACTTAATACTCTAAGCGCTGGGACAGTCTTTCTCTTTCTAAGACAGCCCTTGGGTAAGCTGCGACAAGGCAGGATCTCTGCAGTGCCCTTTTGCGTATTACACAACCTACTTTACAGAGCAGGTTTTTCCTCCCTCGATTTTCTAGAAAATCTGAAGAGGCAGTTAAGCAGATGCCCGTGTATCAGCAGCAGGGTAATTTGTGCGCTTTGGTTTCCGTCCAGGGATCAATGAAATAGCAGCGGAGAGAGAGAACGAGACGGTATTTGATGGCCGGAAAGAAAACCTCTAGCTTAATTTTACAAGTTAGGCAGGACTAACTGCAGGGGGCCACAGACGGCTGCGTTGGAGGGGAGGTGACACCTTGGAGGGGCCCGTCTCCAGATGCAGCACAGCTGTAACTGTGCCACCTACATCACGCACACAGTCACGTCGGGAGCCGAGCCGCGCGAGGTCCGTCCGTCCGTCCGTCCCCGGCAGGGGCAGCCCCCCCCCC